CTAAGTAGTACAATAGGCGAAGCCTGTTTTGTCCCAGTGGATGTAAAACAGTTTCACTGTTGTTTTTCTCAGAAATCACAGCAAGCGATGCAGTTCGGAGTTACTCTGGGGTACAGGTTACAGGGCTGCAAACGTGTATCCGGATGCGATAATTCCCTCATTGAAACAGTATTTCGGGACAAAACAACAATGGAACTGTTTTGATGGGGGAATTATTCTTTCGTTAACGATGCGATAAGTGCCTACGGTAGATGAATAGGAAGAACAAGAATTGTTCCGGATAATATTCGGATGAGGCTGTGCCTCATGAGGCTACTACGTATAGAGGGATCGAGCCCACGACCTTATCCATTATTTTCTGTATTTACAGTTGTCAATGAATACAGATGTTATGTACAGTAAGTATTCTCAAGCAAGTTAGCAAATCCAACAATCCTCCATTACGCCCACCACTGTTAATTCTTCTTGGACAGAGTAGCCTTATGGGAATCCGATTGGTTGCGTTGAACGACTTGCACGCGCGGTCTTCGCTTCAATGGCTGACATTTTTGGCCAACTTCATTTTCCTTTTTGCTCTGCGATGGTTAAGGTCCTCATCTCCCTCAGCGCATTCGCCGCTGCCGCGACGGCTGGCTCCGTCACGGAACTCCCCGCTTCTGTGACCAAGCTCATCGACTACTCCGCAAACCCATGCGAAGACTTTTTCCAATATGCTTGTGGAGCGTGGTACAAGGATACTGTGGTACCCCCGGACGTAGGCCTAATCAGTACGTTGACCACGATCTCTGCCCATAACGAAGCCGTTTTGAAGAAGATTTTGTCTAACTACAAGCCCAAGCTTAGCGAGTTTTACACCTCCTGTATGGACACGGCTACGCTATCGTCGCTTGGCCTGACTCCGCTGGAGGACTCGTTCAAAGCCATTAGGTTGGCCAACACCAAATTGGACCTCCTCATCGTGGCTGGTAAATTGGTCAAGAACGGCATTCCAGCCTTTGTGGATATCAAAGCCAGCCCTGACAACAACGACGTGACCAAGAACGCCCTCTTCGGTTTCCCAATCCCCCTGCCGCTGGATCTCGTGTACTACGCTAACCCTTCCGAGTGGGAGTCCGTAGAAGCCGACTACAAGTTGTACATTGCGTCGGTTTTGCAGCTAGCTGGCTACACTGCTGAGAAAGCGGCGGCTGCCGTGCCGGTGATCATCCGTTTCGAGCAAAGGATGGTCATTTTCGCCCTCAGGCAGCTCAAGGAGATCCAGGTCGCAGTGTCTCCGTATACTGCGCTTACGTACAGCCAACTGAACCAGACGTACCCGCTGCTTATCGGTTCGTGGCTCATAGCCAACGGCTTCAACGTCCGCAACGTGGGCGGAGGGTCGAACGACTGGGTGAGGTTTTACGACTTGACCTACTTTGACAATATCGAACTGTTGCTGAAGTTCACGACGCTGGACGACCTCCGCACCATCGTGGTGTACAAGCTCATCCATGCCTCGTCGAAGCACTTGACGCCTGAATTCCGCACGGCCAACTGGAACTTCTTCGGCAAGAAGATCAATGGCGAAAAGGTGGAACCTTCTCGTGAAAAGTTCTGCTTCTCTGAGACGGGCGAGGCCTTGAGTGATATCTTGGGCGAGTACTTATTAGGCAAGGTGTGGTCGGCTGATGCGGCCAAGGTGGTCAACGAACTGGTCAAGGCCTTGAGGTCGTCCTTCTCCACTAGCATTGCCACCGCCGACTGGTTGGACAACTCGACACTCGCCAACGCGCAAACGAAGATGTCCAAGCTTGTACACTTGCTGGGTGGCCCGGAGAAGCCGCAGCTGTACCCCACGCTGACGTTGGACTCGAAGTCGTTTCTGAACAACCGGTGGAAGGTGTCTCAAGTGAACATCGACACCAACTTGAAGCTGAACGGCCAACCTGTGGAGCACAAGTGGAGCGAGGCGCCCCATGAGGTGAACGCGTACTACGGCTCCAGTCAGAATCTAATTATGTTGCCCGCCAACATTTTGCAAAAACCACTCTTTGACGGCGAGTTTGACGCCGCCCAGAACTTTGGTGGCATCGGATCATTCATCGGACACGAAATTACCCACGGGTTCGACAACATCGGCCGCTATTACGATGGCGACGGCAACGTGAATCCGTGGTGGTCGGACGTCTCCATTGCTTCGTTTAAGACGAAAGCCCAGTGCTTTAGCGACCAATACTCCAACTTTGTCGTGAAGAGCGTGGAGACTGGCGATGTCTTGGGCAACATCAACGGCAAACTCACGTTGGACGAAAACATTGCGGACAATGCGGGGCTCAAGACCAGTTTCCGCGCGTATCACGAGTACTTGAAGAAGTTCCCATCCCAGTACTCAGAAGAAACAGGTGACAAGTTGTTCTACTTGTCGTTCGCCCAAAGCTGGTGCTCCAAGTACACGGATACCTCCCTCTCCGAGTCTTTGAAGAGGGAGCACCCGCCCGGTCGGTTCCGTGTGACGGGGACCTTGCAAAACGACGCTGAGTTTGCCCGTGTGTTCCAGTGCCCCACCGGCTCGTACATGAACCCGTCCAAGAAGTGCTTGTTGTGGGAATAGGGTTGACGGATGCGAAAATATGTAGTGTTGTGCATTCGTAAGGAAAAACTATGAGAACGATGTATTGGTTGAAGTGTGTTGCTTTCATGCGCGGCGCACACAAAAACTAATAATGTATACAGCTGTAGATAGTACCACCGGTATGTGACTGTGAGATCACCCTTCGATTCGCTGCTTAGTAGTTTGTTGGCGGGTCATGAACTTGAGATAAAGTCAACTACACGACGGGTTTGGTGCGTGCACGACATTGGGTTGGTAAGGTTGGAATTGACTGTGTGATATATACACCCCCATGTTCGGCACCAGTTATGGTCGCCCTGTGGGGTTATCAAAACTGTAAATTGTCCGGATAGAACTACTATAAATATCGTATACAGTCGCACTGGTGGGGGTTCCCTAAGTCGACCACCGACGACACCTCCAACGGAGCAGACATCACCGATTTTTCAGTGCTAGCCGAATAAGTAACACCCCCGGAACCCAAGCACCCGATCAAGTACCGGTCCGACATCGACGGGCAACGGACCCTCGCGGTGGTTCCCGCGGTGCTGTTCCACCGTACCCGCACTCGATTAAATGTACCCGCACTCGATCAAATGCGGGTTCATAAGCGTCGACGTGTTCTTCGTCATCTCTGGCTACGTCATCTAGGGCGTCCTCTTCAAGGAAAAGGCCAGACGCTCGTTCACGTACGCCGACTTTTACTCGCGCCGCATCCGCTGCTCGTGCTCACATTCACGCTGGCCGTGGGCTGCGTGTGGCTGCTGGAGAAGGCGCTCCAGTCCAAGGTCATCACCCTCGTGGTCGGGACGCACTTTGGGGCCAAGATCTAGCTGCTGACCGTCCAACAGGGCTACTTTGACGCCAACATCAAGGAGAATCCGCTGCTGCACCTGTGGTTTCGGCCAGAGGTGATCATAAAATAATTTTCCAAATGAATATATTTAATTAGCTGGAATAAGTATATACCTCGAAGTAATCTATTTTCTGTAGGACAAAGAATATATATATTATTTTCGTTGATGGAAAGAATAAATAATTTTCATCAACCCCCAAAACGAATAAATAAATATTGGAAACAAAAGGAATAATTCATGATGCCCTTAAAAACCACTCAATACAAGCAAGGCTGTGAACCACTCAATTCAACCACTCAATTCAAACACAAGTCGTAGCTGTGTTCATTCTCATTTGTGATGAACCCAGCCAACACCAACATCCTCCGTGGTCGCCAGCTCGCCGAGCTGTTCTTCACCCGTACTGCTCCTGGTTGCAATGTATGGGCTTGTCGCTGTGGTGTAAAGCGTACCCAGAAAGGGAGCGGTTACACTAACTTGTGCTCGCACGTAACTACTGACCATCCTGAGTATGTCACATTTGATGCTTCCAGCCCTCCCACTCCTGCAGTACTGTTCGGCATCATGGTCCCACGTCTTGTCCGCACAGTGTATGGGTGGTTGAACTGGATCTCAATGTCCCTGTTGCCCTTTTTATTTGTCGCTAACCCACTCGTTCGTCGTTGCACGAACTTGGACCCCATCTGCCGTAACACATTGATGAAGTACATGCATGGCCTTATTAAGCGCATCGAGCACAAGCTGTCCCTCACCCTCCCCGACAAGCTCGCACTCATGTTTGATGGGTGGACCTTTGGATCCACCCATTATGTGGCTCTTTTTGCATCGTTCCCGTCCGATAATCCGATTGGCTACTCCCGAGCATTGTTAGCATTTGCACCAATCAACGACGAGGATTCTCTAAATGAGGCTGCGAACTTAGAGTTTGCGAGCTTTGTGTTGGAGTTGTAAGGAAAGTCGTGGGAAAACGTCGTCGCACTTATCGGGGACAACTGCTCGACGAATGTTGTTTTTGCGCGTTTGGCGGGTGTTCGTGCGAGCACAAGTTAGTGTAACCGCTCCCTTTCTGGGTACGCTTTACACCACAGCGACAAGCCCACACATTGCAACCAGGAGCAGTACGGGTGAAGAACAGCTCGGCGAGCTGGCGACCACGGAGGATGTTGGTGTTGGCTGGGTTCATCACAAATGAGAATGAACACAGCTACGACTTGTGTTTGAATTGAGTGGTTGAATTGAGTGGTTCACAGCCTTGCTTGTATTGAGTGGTTTTTAAGGGCATCATGAATTATTCCTTTTGTTTCCAATATTTATTTATTCGTTTTGGGGGTTGATGAAAATTATTTATTCTTTCCATCAACGAAAATAATATATATATTCTTTGTCCTACAGAAAATAGATTACTTCGAGGTATATACTTATTCCAGCTAATTAAATATATTCATTTGGAAAATTATTTTATGATCACCTCTGGCCGAAACCACAGGTGCAGCAGCGGATTCTCCTTGATATTGGCGTCAAAGTAGCCCTGTTGGACGGTCAGCAGCTAGATCTTGGCCCCAAAGTGCGTCCCGACCACGAGGGTGATGACCTTGGACTGGAGCGCCTTCTCCAGCAGCCACACGCAGCCCACGGCCAGCGTGAATGTGAGCACGAGCAGCGGATGCGGCGCGAGTAAAAGTCGGCGTACGTGAACGAGCGTCTGGCCTTTTCCTTGAAGAGGACGCCGTGGTTGTGCTAGCCATCTATTCAACCTCTTCGTGTCCGACCTGCTGTCCAACCATATTTCTGCAAATACAATAACGTAACGAGGCAATTTATGGACACCTTTTTTGTCGAAGATAGCTCGAAAATATGTTGCAAATGTTGCAAATTTTATCTATTTTTTTATCATTTTATATCCCAATAAAGCTTAGGTTGTGATTGATCGAATGGAACTTGTTTCATCAAGTTTAAGGAGGTATTACAGCAGTTAGGTGGCTTTGAAGTATTGAATGTTCATTGGATGAG